TATGGGCCCGCAAAAATTTTGCAAGCATCTCAAAAAGATTTTCGGAGTGCGTAGCTAATCTTTATTTGGAAGATTTTTGTGTGGAATGCCCCGCGCATGTGTGTGTATGTATATGTGTACTTGTATGTATGTATATATGTGCATATATGTGCATGTTAACGAGGACCAAGGGCAGGACGCAGGCGGAGGGGGGGGGGGTCGCATGACGAGAACGTTTCAAAAGTAACTTAATGAATTTCAAGAATGTGCAACTGACTTGTTTCTACTTGTAAACAATTAAAGAAATTTTTGAAGTATTCAAAAATTCAAATTGCCCTATGATTTTTTTCCGGGGTCGTGGACTTTTTCTCGCCTCCTTTCTCCAAATAGAAATCCTGGTACCACTACTGCTAGAAACTTCTCTACACAATGAATTCAAATCTGCTTTTGCTGAATTTTTTGCTGAACTCTCACAAAAAGGCTATGAGTGTATGAATTCCAAGTTTATCAAGTTTTGAGTGGCATAAAGTTAGATAGCTCTACAGAAACATCTGAAAGTGGTAATCAATTTTTATTGAGCATAATGAGTGCAGAGAGGAACACAGCCAGTGGAAATCCGCATAGTCTCGTAAAACATCGATTCAGCGTGTCATTATCGCTGAAAATCTCATCCGATAAGGGGTGGCGAAGCAAACTAAGGCGCTTCCAGTGCTCACATCACGCGCAGGTTTCTATTGTCCAGTGACTCTTCATATTTGGAATGAAGTAAACTCGTAACTTACTAGCTGCTTGCCACAGGCACATTTTCGGTCTTTCTCATATGTGCACTAAATCTTGTAAATGAGTCCGCTTTATGAAAAGCTCATCTTCAACTCCAAAACCATGTAGCTTTGCAGACTGCAAGAGTAGAGCTTTTCATACATCATTCAAAGCTTCTGAAGCTCTTGACAAAAGTTGTTAGCCAAACTTCTCCTCCCCCCCCCCCCCGCCTTGTTGACATTTTAGCTCTAATTCCGCTAGTTTTTCGGAGCACCAAAGCTTCGTCAGCCCTTTTTCAGCAGTGACGTATGCGCATCGTAAATTTTTCGAAGACCATTCAAAAGAGCTGCTTGAATGCTTTACCTTGATATTCAGAAAAGCTCAAGTTGTTGTACTTTTATTGACATACATGCTTTGAATGTCAAAATCCAAATCCAGGCTTTTGGCGAGCTCATCTGTAGTAGGCCTCATCTGTATTCTAGAGAGTTTTGAAAACATCTACGCAACGCTTAGCTGTTACTATGTCGTAGCTTCGGGGTTCGATCTCATGGTTCTCACAACTTGCACCTAAGGGCCGCATGCACTAACATGGCCGCGGGGAGGGGATCGCAGCTTAAAAGAAAGCTTCATATTCTGAAGCTCCAGATATCTAGATTTCACGCTGTTTACCTGTCCGTTATTCCTACTATCCTTCACTATGAACATGTTGAACAGGAGCGAGAAGCTGTACGAACCGCATTTTCCAGCTTTTGTATGATCCCTGATGATCTCCAACGCCTTTCTTTGAAGTCATTTTTCTTTCTCCGATGTTAACAAAAACCTTCCAAAGTTGTACTGAACATCTAAACAACAGTGCTAAGCATGTTGCTGATGAAAACAAATGAATTTTTGAAAAATCGAATTTCTCGGTAAACCCCAAATTTCGACCTGTGGATCATCGAAAATTTCATGACTTCAAAACATCGTTTTTATCATCACTTTTTTGCTTAGCACTGTTGGGTTAGATAATCTGCACAACTTTGGAAGGTCTTCGTTAACTTAGGAGAAAGAAAAATGACTTCAAAGAAAAGCGCCGGGGATCATCAGGGATAATACAAAAGCTGAAAAATGCGGTTCGTACAGCTTTTCGCTCCTGTTCAACATGTTCAAAGTGAAGGGTAGTAGGAATACTTACGGATAGGTACATAACGTGAAATCCAGGTATCTGGAGTTTCGAAATATTAAGCTTTCTTTTGAGCTGCGATCCCCTCCCCACGGCCATGTTAGTGCATGCGGCCCTAAATGAGAGAGGCTTGGCATGCAACCAAGGTCAAGCGTAGGGTGTGGCATACCACACCTGAGGGGTCGTATTGAGGAATCAGGGAGGGGTGGTAGGGGGGGGGGGTCGTTATCAAGGCTTCCGCTATTCGCGTAACATTTTATTCGTTAAGAATGTCAAATAGGCCCGTCATGCAACCCACACCCCATTAAGTATATCAAAAAGACATTTTTAGCGAACGCTATTTATATGAATCGATAGCCTAGACCTCGTAGATTTCATAGGAGTGATTTGATCCTGATTCGTCTTCTTAGCTCTGAGTAATATTTGGTGAAAGCACAGCTATTTAGAGCGAAAAATAGGAAAAACACGATTTTGGATGGCTTTAATTCCAAAGTTAGGGTGTCTTTTGCAGCGAGATTTCTGATGTGGCCAAAAAAGTAGTAGTGCTTTGTCTCGAGTGCAAAAACAGCTAGCTACTTCACCTTTAAAACAAAGTTAATCATGCTGGAAAATAGTGATTTCACTTAGGTGACCCAGTATACTTGGGTAATTCGAAATTTTTTCATCGAATGAATGAACGAATAAATTCGAAAATAAAAAAATCTCGAATAAACAAATATCGAATAAATTCGAGAATCAAAAATTCTCGAATGAATGAATTTCGAATAAATTCGGAAGGTCAAAAATATCGAATGAATGGATATCGATTATATTCGAACATTGGCAGCCGAATTTCAAATAAATATTCGAATGATTTATCGAATAACTAGAGCAACTATATCTCAAACTTACTGACATATTTGGCTGAAGCCGATCCATTCATAATCAGCACCCTCGTATCCCCTATGCCAACTCCTAGCTCAAAGTTTTCCGAAAATCGCTAAAATCAATAAAATAGATTCCGGTTTTAATCAGCATCCTTATTTACCCCTCCCCCTGTACCAACTCCCAACATCGTAGCTCAAGATTTTCCAAACCGACAAAATCGATAAAGTAAGTTTTTATCTATAATCAGCACCCTCACTTACCCCCTTGTGCTAACTCCCAGCCCCGCAGCTAAGACTTCTCCAAAAATCGATAAAATCGATGAAGTATATTTTTATCCATAATCAGCACCCTCACTAACCTCTTGTACCAACTCCCAGCCCCGCAACAACGGTGGCCACATAGGTACTTAAATGTCACAAATGACGATACATTGCCTGTTCGGAGACTCTCGTCTTGTGTGGCATAAGCTAATCGCGGACGAAGGCATGTGGTTTATCCCGCGAAGCGAGCACGATTGCCCCTAGCCCTGGACATACTGCAGGCATTTCAGTGGCGACGTGGTTTGGCAATAGTCATGTCCAAAACTTATTATTATTTACTTACGGAATGCACGGCATTTATCTTTTTAGCAGGTTGTACACGCTAAGTATATGTGGTAAGCTGGCGTTACATTTGAAGACATCTCGTAACTGGTAAATCGCGTAATCTAAACCGTCTAATCCTCCACTACAACTGCGATGTCCTTTACTCAAAATACACCAACCCGCAAAAAACTCTAAGGCCCAGGACAGACTTCACGCGATTTGATCGTCGCGACTGAATCGCGACGAGACAACTGTTGCAACATCATTCCATGTCGATCAACTTGCATTTCGGTTGTGATACTCTTGAGCCCGAAATTTTTGAATGTGAAATGAAAATGAATGGAAATGTCTGCGATTGAGTCGCGACGATCAAATCGCGTGAAGTCTGTCCGGGGCCTAAGGCAGCGAATAGAGGCAGTTGTGCAATATAACTTATGCGAGCAAGAGTGTTCACTAAGGGCTTTGCGTACCACAAGCATGAGCAATCCAAAGAAAGAAAAACAGGCAATTTGAAACACTTTCAACATATGAATTCGGAACATGAGCTTGTATTTGATAGCTACTTTGCTGATTTGGTGCCGATAGCAGTGGCATACCGAGGGGAGGAGGATCGCGACCCATTCTCGGAGGGGGCGCCCCCCCCCCCCTCCGAGAATGGGTCGCGAAATTTTTGAAAGTTACTTATATGGGTTATAAAAATGTGCAAATAACTTGTTCATAATTGTAAATAATTAAAATAATTTTTGAAATCCTGGGTACGCCACTGGCCGATGCGAACAATCTCATTGATCGAAAAAGCATCAATTAAAATCCACATATGATTTTTTACTGTCAAGCAGTCGGAAGAATGCGACCCTCCATACAGTTCAAAGGTCATAGCGGTTGCAAAAGCTGCATTACCGAGTTTTGCGAAAAAAAAACGCGGATGAAGTGAGCTTGATACTCAGCAGTTGGCTCTGCAACAAAGTCGAATAATTTGAATGCGGAGTTCATTCGAATACGAATTCGAATAAACATTCGAATAAAACAATCGAATGAAATCTATTCGAAACTCCGTTTTTTGATTATTCGAGTTTTCGAATTTTATTCGAAACCCTGTTTTTTTGATTATTCGAGTTTTCGAATTTTATTCGAAACCCTGTTTTTTGATTATTCGAGTTTCGAATTTTATTCGAAACCCCGCCTACTCAGTTATTCGAGTTTCGAATATTATTCGAAAATGGAAGAACTCCGAATATCGAATTTCGAGTACGAATATATTCGAATGTTTTATTCGAATGATCGAATTTCTATTCGATTCGGACCCAAGTATATGACCCAGTATCTTGAAACTTCAGAATTTGCTCAAACATTGTCCACAGGGGTTAACTGACATGCTGATTATGGATATGCTACCCGTTATGTTTGACAGGGCCTTCAATAATGCTATCTTAGGTATAAAGTTAGGGGGTCTTACTGAGACAGCAATAAGAGGGGGGGGGGGGGGGGTCGTAACCAGCGATCGTGTGCCACACCTCATGCTTGACCCTCATCTGCCAGCGATTTCCTCCTGCTCGAAGTGAGCAATCTCTGATTTTTGTTGCATCTTTGTAGGAACTTCCGTTTATTCTTACCTTTCCCTTTTCTCATATACTTTAGACCTTTCAAACATGGATTTCGACTCCAAGTATATACGGGGCCCATCTATTGAGAGCGGATCTTTTGGCGAAGTATGTCGTGTCAAGAGAAAAAGCGATGGAGTTGAGGTAAGCTGCTGCATTTCCGAATTTACTTTTTCTTTCATCTTTCTCAGTGATCCAATCACATGTGCGTTTTTCTGATAAACAGAAAGAGGAATGACATAGATAAACAAGTCATCACATAGCCATCAGTTCCTGACCTGTATATCAGTCATAATTCCTTGCTTAGATGGTGCTAAAGACTATCCACAAATCTAAACTGCCTCATTATGCTCGCACCGACTATGGCGAGTATCCAAACGAAGTGAAATTATTGAGAAAACTCAGTCATCCGCATATTATCAAGGTTTGTCAGATCTACCTTCTTTAATTAACAGCATTCCAATGCAGATATATCTCAGTTTATGGATTCGTTTGAAGAAGCCAGATCCTTTCTATTAGTTATGGAGTTGGTAGTGAACTCTATAGATCTTTATGATTTCACTATAAGGCGAGTTGAAACCAGTGAGGAAGTACTTGCCTACATATTTGCTCAGGTCGGTCGATGAGAGGAACTATGTTCTTACAAGATGAATTTCTGTGCAATGTCTCCTAGGTGGCTGATGCATTACTTTTTCTGCACTGTAATGACATCGTACATATGGACTTAAAGTTGGAAAATGTCGTTATGGATGAAAAACTTACCTGTAAGCTTTCCTCATAATGCTTCTTTATTAGTTGCTAAGGTTTTCTTCAATCGAATCGGTAAAGAAGCTGTCATGCGTTTTGACTTCTTAAACTGAGAACTTCCAAAATCTAAGAAAATCTTCAGTCCCTTTTGTTATGTGTTGCAGGCAAACTGATAGATTTTGGCAGCGCTGCAAAGTGCGAAAATGGTGAACTCTTTCACTGTCCACGATGTTCCCAGCAGGCTTGTAGCCCTGAGATTTGGAGTGGTCGCAGGTAATCAGTAGTTTTTTTTTTTCACTTCTACGTGTTTCGACATCAAAGTACAATCTAGCTTCCAAGGGAAGGACGCAGACTGTTGGGCGCTTGGGGTGCTACTGTATCGACTTTGCTATAGGGAAACTCCCTTTCTTACCTGTGACGAGGCTCTGAACTTGGACTACGTATTACCCGATGATGTTTCACTTGGTGAGCCCATTATCCGTAAAAACAAAAAGCAGAGCCGAATACTGCTGCTTAACAGAACTGGACGATCTGTTCATGCGGGTATTTCACGAAAATGTGCTTTGCCGAGCCGAAGCCTGGGAGATTCGTCACCACCCGTGGACGATGGCTGGCAGCAGAAAGAGCTACACCCTCAGCGACCTCATCAATGAAGGTGCAAAATATTGGAATCAGAAGTGAAGCTGGAACGTTTTGTTTTCAGCAAGCATCTGGAATTCAATTTGTCCTACTGAAAGCGAAGACTATGGTGGTTATTTGCCCGAGCGTTTGCGAAAGCATCTTTGAGGTGTCACCTTACGGGTTGTAATTAAAGTCAAGCGTAGGGTGTGGCACGCCACACCTGGGTGTCGTAGAAGGGTCAGGAAGAGAGAGAGAGAGAGAAGGAGAGAGAGAAAAAGAGAGAGAGAAGGTTGTTATCGAGGTGATAGTGATGTTAGCGAGATGATGTCAGTCAACAATGTCTGATAGACCCATTGTGCAAGGTACTAGCACTGGTGTTTTGGCCTACCGTCGCAGACGCACAGTAAGCATAATAAAGGAGTCCTAAGAACATACGAGTATCATTTTCGTAATAAGCATGTCAAATAACCCCTGTGGCCAAGACTTATTGACGTTTCCAAATATTGGAACACTCAAGTAGGTGGTCATTTTCGAACATATTAACTTTGTTTCAAACGTGAGTAAATAGTTGTTTTTGCTCTCATTACGGAGTATTATTACTTCTTTGCTTAAATTAGGAATCCCACTTCAACTAATCTTTAAACTTTGTAAATAAGAGCAAGTAAATCTCGTTTATCCCATTCTTCGCCTTCAATCTCAGACTAGAAGACCAATCAGGCTCAAATCACTTTTGTGAAAAGCTACGAGGATCAGTTATATCAAATATACTTGTTCTTGCGGCCTTCCCTCGCGACTCGTGTAGTAGCACAAACTTAGCATACCACCGTAACCCAATATTTTAGCAGTGTTTTCCATTTGCATAGCTAAGGAAAAATGGCTATATCTTTCGTTATGAGGGACAATTTTGAATGAAATTCCTGGTATGTGGAGAGGAAGGTTTAGCAGTAGCAACCATATAAAAAGACGGAGATTTGAATGCTTTGAGGTGAGTTAATGGGGTGTGGCACAACCCCTAGAAAGCTGTGACAGCCACAGCTTTATAAGGTTGTGCCACATCCCATTAACTCACCTCCGAAAAGAATTTTAGCGAACAAAATATATACAGTTTGATAGCCTGGGTCTTGCAGTTTTCATAGGACTAATTTGGGCCTGATTCATCTTCTTCGCTCTGAGTAAAAGCTGGTGAAAGCGCAGCCATCAAAAGCGAAAATTGGTCAAACGAGGTTTTGGCCTGCTTCTAATTTTATAGTTTAATGGTTATTTGAAGCAGGATCCATGATATGGGTAAAAAGAGAGTAGTGCTTTGTATTCAGTACGAAGGGTTAGCTAGTTCACTTTTGAAATATAGTCAATCATGTTTGAAAATGATCACTTCAGTGGTCCAACATTGGGAACCCTCAGAATTTGCTAAAACTTAGCGCATGGATGATATGATACTTACGAATATGTGCCTAATTATGCATGTTAGAGCCTTTATGACATGCCTACGGATAGCAAACGATGGAGGGCGTGCAGGAGTTTCTAGCACCTTTCCTCGCACCAGCTTCGCACCAGCATTCGCACCCAGGAGGGTTCTAGAACCCCCGCGCCTCAGAGTTCAGGCTCCGCCCTTTCCCCACCCATTTACTAGTCTCATTGTGAGGCGTGCAAGCAGCTAGAACATAGGATTCAGGTAGTAAGGTAATAAGAGAGAAAATGGAGAAAAAAATGGAAAACAGTTATCATTTCTCAAGTGAGGAGGCTTGGAAACTTCTGCTACGCCATCCATTGAAAAGAGCATATGAACATTATTTTCAGAAGAGAAAAATCGCACAGAATTATTTCGAATAGAAAACCCCGTCATTCGATATATTAGAGAATCTAGCCGATCGATTGTACATCACTAGTCATCTGATTGAAGTAATTTATCATCAGGAGTTTAAGAATCCAATTTCTTTCCGAACAAGCAACTCAACGCTTTCTCCAACAGTTAGGATACCTAAACACATACAACACATATTTTCTATCATCTGCCATCGTATATTCGAACAAATTTTTCATTCCAGCTACTCTAATGATCAATGAGAACTAAATTATCAAAAAGAGATAAGTGTAGTATTTCCTACAATCTATGTACTAAAATACCAAACTTCGTCGCATAATCGAAGAGTTGGTTAGGAGTTCCAAATACGACACTAAATTTGCAAGATATGGTAATTCGCTATATTCTTGGATGGATTTTAGAACTTGCGTAAAATTGACTAACTTCTCTGTTATACAGGGTGTCCCAAAATAATGTGCACACTGTTTGATTGTTGATCTCTTATTATGAGGTCTTTCGAGAAGCGGTAAGCGCCATTTTGTAGAGCTGGCTTCATCTTAGATTTACAGTATAGAGCGAATCACCGACTTCTCTTTATTACTGTAGGATTACGGTAGAAACTTGGAACATATGCTGTCACTGTGGAAAAGGTTGCCGTTTAAAAATTTTTCAAAAAGATGTGAAAACTTGTGTAATAGGGTTTTTAGGGACGCTGTGTTCAATACTCAATTATTCTCGGGATTGCGAAGCTTTCTAAACGGTGTGACCGTATTTTTTAGGAACATTGAAAAGATGACCGCTATTGCCTACCTGGCATAACTCTTCAGTGAAGCACCATAATAAGCTGGAAACTTTACAGTTAGAATCAGCAACTCTAATTGGCCTAGTGTAAAAGTTTTCAGGCTGTTTTGATTCCTTTCTGAGGCAAAATATGGCCTTTCATGGCTCAAAACCCTCTTTCAAGTTTCTGCCGTAATCTTAGAGTAGCGGAGAAGGATGGACGATCCGCTCTATATGTAAATTTGAGTTGAAGCCAGCTCTACAAAATGGCGCTTACCGCTTCTCGAAAGACCTCATAATCAGAGAGTTATTGACAATCAAACAGTGTGCACATTATTTTGGGACACCCTGTATACAATGATTGGAAGACTCACAGCTTCTGCTTGATTTATATTAATACGAATTTTTTACAAACTTACTCAAGCGCGAGCACTTACAAGTTTTGAGAAAACGTCATTTTATCCGAAAACATTAGTAAAACGTAACTGAAATGCTGAAATTCAGCTGCAGTCATTTACGGATTCTAAACCTTTGTAGAAACCTAGAATTTCATTTGTTTTTTGAAAGTTCTATTATCCTCATATACAATGAAGCACGTCTCACAGTGGCGTGTACACAATTCAGAATGAGAGCACCTAGAGGGAGGAGTGATGGACGGAGCCGCCTTTTGACCACGACAAGTTGTGATGTCCTTCAAGGAATTTTTGGAGGTGTCAAGTACCCCTTGCGAATAAAAGCGATTAGGCCTTGGGAACTCTTGCCACGCCGCCGCAAACGATAATGCTGGCAGGAAGGGAGTGGTATTGTGAAAAAGATAGGAGGGGGATCTCCGGCGCTGCCACACCTCTTGCTCGACCCTGCTTGTAATTGTAATGTTCTAATAAGTAATAGATACGATCAATAAAGTGCTAAAAATGACTTTACCTTGAACTTTATTCGCAATAAATTCCAGTAAATATGAAGCAACACAGGAAGAAAAGCTTTCCACGGCCCAACAATGGAAACTGCCAAGAGAGAGATTATCATAAGAAAGCGGCTAAGTTCACGCAAAATTCTTCTCTTGTAAGCAAGGATTGAACAGTCAGTTAGTGACGTCACACAACGGGGGATAATCAGCTGATAATCATTTTGTGCGATATGGTGGTGGTGGACGGAATAGCTCTTCATAAGTCGGTAGTGGTGTATGTTTGCATGAACTTCCCGGAGCCACTCGAACTGCTCCAGACTCCTTCAATCTTATTTCACTGACTGGAGCATCCAATTCACCGAAGTGCACTCCTGTAAGCAAGCGTTACAGGTGGCACCTCAAGCTATCATCGCTTACTGCAAACATGACGTCTACCGAGGTGCTTCTTGAAGTTTGTTCTCGACCTGAAAACATCCTCGATCGTACATTGCTCATTATTTTGATTCGAATAGCGTTGAGATGTTGCCGACCTCTTCACGAGGAGCTCCTTGAGTGCGATGACCGGTACGGTCATGGCGAAGGCGGCTCCAGCCACGAGCACAACGGGTGCTGCTAGTGACGTCATTGTGTGACGTCACTTACTGATGCTAACAACGTGAACGACTATAGGGGCCTATGAAGGCAGATCCTGAATTGTGTACGGAAGGTTGCATACTTGCAGTCGTAAAATAAGGTTTCGTGCATCACGCTCATATGATAATGTGAAACGCTCTGCTCGGCATTCTCGTAAAAACCAATGTTTTGCTTTTACTATCACACATACCAACATGAGTGAATATCGTGTGATCTTGGATTGATAATACTGGGATGCTTATTGAGAGATGCAGGGTCGTGTGCGCTCGACCAGAAAATAAGAAAAAATTCCATGAGCAACAACATACCTATCCGAATTCGTCGAGATTAGATGGGAAGCAGCGGAAGAAAATTAGCGGAGCCAAGATGGTAGACGGGGAAGGCACAAGACCTGAATATACTCAATCACAAAAAGTCGTTAAGTGCGCAACAAAGAAACAAATGAAGATCGATGCGAAGACAAGATAACGGATAACTTGCTCGGAAGCTCATACCAGTAAGTGTCAGAATATGAGCGTATTGACGGTGAGCGTTTAAGCGAATGAGGTAAAGGGAGCGATCAGTGCTCTTTTATAGAGTAGAGCAATATGCAAATTTTGGCTTCGGAAAGCACAAATAGTCCTTGGCCATGTTCACCTAAGCGCGTCAAAATATCGAAAAATCGAACGAGCGGAGCGATCAAATCACATTGATGTCATGCTGATATGGGAGGCGTAGACAATGAAAGTATGCCGATTGTGTGATGACGCCGTTTCGTGTTGGGGATTTGTCGAATGCGAAATGAGCGAGGATGACAGCTCCGATCTCAGCATTTGATTTGCGCCACTCGACGGTTTTTCATCAATAGCGTGACCACGTTTACACCCCCGTATTGACGAAGTTCCTGTTTGTCCATTCTTCTATGAGGGTGACGAATGACTGTGTCGTGCAGTGATTAGAAACAAATTACCGCACTTGCTGGACACCAGTTATTCGTAGTATAGAAGCAACATGCGTTGAGTGTACTCAAAGTTGGTACGAAAGTGGCATATATACACCCGCAAAACGAATTCACCTTTGCCACTTTCGATTTTTACGAATATCCGCTTGAGTATTAGCACTCACCAGCTCCAGCTGCGCGGGTCTTGATTAAAGGCAGCGTCCAGGCAGATCTGGACCTATGGGGCTTTTACATGGAAAGTACTTTGGGGCCCTAACTAAGGCACTGCCCAAGCGGCAGCTCAGGTAGTGCTCTAATGGCTGAGATATTCCTCTCGAAACTGGCCCCTGCGAACGTATTCGCATGGATTCATGGCAATTTCGCGCTAGGATCCACGCTTTTCGCCATGAATCCATGCGAAACACGGTCGCGGGGTCCAGTTTCGAGGGGAATATCTCAGCCATTAGAGCACTACCTGAGCTGCCGCTTGGGCAGTGTCTTAGTTAGGGCCCCAAAAGTACTTTCCATGTAAAAGCCCCATAGGTCCAGATCTGCCTGGACGCTGCCTTTGAAGCGCGCTTTCTTCCTTGACCGGCGTCGTGGCTATTTTGGACCTAGAAAGTGAAGAGAAGGAGTTTTGAAACCAAAATGTTACTATTTAGTGAAGTTTGGTGGCAGAACAGATCTATGTAGAAATTATGAAGAGCGCAATGTAAAATAGAAGTTTCACCACCTTCGAATGATGTTGAGCATACACTTCATTCAAAAGCCATATGATTTCATACTTTGTTCTTATCTCCACCACGCACATAAACATCAAGTTTGGAGACATGATTACTTGTGCGTTGCAAACGTGTCATTTCTCCACTTTGAACTAGCAAAATAAATTCTACAAAAAAGCTTGCCAAAACCCTTCCACACTTCTTTGCACTATTGCTTCTCCTAGCCCTTGGTTCACATAGCAAATTTGGTGCCATATCGTTGTGTGTGCGCTGCAAGTGAGGCAGTTTACTACTTGTGGTTATTGCGAAATAAAAGCTGGTATTTTGAAACTGACGCCTTGAGCAAGATTGTGTTCGTACACATCGGTCGTGTAGCAACTTGTGAGAAGCTGCGCTTCTGCATATGAATATTCAAGATACTCCGTTTGCCTTTTTCCCTGTAACGATTTTCGGGGATGGCATTTGCCGCACTCGCGCCGGGCCCTGCTTCAGTAATCTCTAATTCATTTTTGGACAACAATTGCAGCCTGGTGGCAACTATGCCTTCGACGACTGAGGTCATTTCTCGTGCAAAGTTGACTTCTTAAATTCTGCTGAATTTCGAAGAAGGCTGAAGACAATAGAGGTTTCACTACGGTGATTGCTGACGTTTGAAGGTTTCTGAACATTGTTCGTTCTGGTGGTGACTTCATATATGATGCTACCTCATCGCATGACGTAGCTCTTCAAGAGCTCAGAAGTCGGTGAAATCCCTTCCTTCACAACTTCCTCCCCGCTCCTTCATTGACGGATTCGTCGGTCCTGGGTTCTCCGGGCTCAGACCTTTTCGATATGTCAGATCTACTATCTGCAGGAATATGTAACTTCGCATTTCCTCTTCTTCAGCAAAAAAAAAAGACTGGGGGCTTTTATGAACAAATGCAAATCGAAAACATTGCAAGCTAAGGAACTGCTGAAGACAAACACAAACATTTTAGTCTGAAAATTTTGCTTTGAGGTAGTGGATTGTAACACAAGGCAACAATAAAGTTTACCTGTAAGGGGAACTGCAGCAGCAACGGACTGGATCACATTCGTTAGATTCGAAACCTTATTTTAGCATATTATTTCAATCGACTTCTCAAAAATGAAATAAAAGTTGTTTTACAAGTATAAATATCATTTTGTTTACACTGTTTGCATTTGGACCGTGCATTCGTCGTTCAAAACCTCTGAAAAGCAAAGTATATACCTCTACGAAAACTTGTTTTTCTTTTTGAGAAGGGGGGGGGGAGGAGAGAGGGTGTCAGCAATGATCTGTGTGAGATTGGTATTTTCAAACAGCTTTGAAGCGTTCAGCTATAGCTATGATCTTTCATTAGCTACTTCCTTCACTCTCTAGAGCATGTCTTCTTTGTCCTGCCTTCAAATGGCTATAAGCCCTAACAAAAGCACATAGTTCGCCGTCTAGGTTTGCGCAAAGTGCTGAACTTGTTACTGCCGCTTTACAGTTTACAATTGTTTCTTCCGAGTTCAAATGGCGTGGTTATCGCGAGGTCATCACCTTTGTTTCAGCCTTTCCCATCGTTTTCGTCACCGCATTATGTGTGTCAAGCGGCACGAGTTTAAACCTAACCTTATGCCGACGTTGTCGTGTATAAAAGCGCTATGGTGAGTCGGTCACAGCACAGTAAACACTCTACTTATTTGTAAACATTTCGAAACTTGTTTCATTCACTGGTATAATACGACACCGCCTGCTGCATTCCCTGAGTTTGGTTACTTTTGCAGATTTAGAACGTTTTTTGAAGTATCTAGGAACCATCTTTTCTCACCATGTCGCATGACAGCATCAATAGACCTTTGTTTCGCTCGATAATTGGAGAAATCGAAATAAGGATTTCAATGCTTTGCGAAATATAGAATGCTTTACGTATGCTTCTTCTTGAAGTACTTTCAGCACACGTATATATAACAAAAATGAAGCTGATTCTCATCGTTGCTCTTTTCTTCGCTTATTTTACCACTGTAGATGGCCAATATGGAGGCTATGGTCCCTATGGTGGTATGTATCCGGGTGGTATGTACGGTAGGTAAAGCGTGATGGACTTCATTTGATCTCAAGATTATCCGTGGTCTCATGTTCAGGTCCTTATGGTGGTGGTATGGGACCTTACGGAGGCATGGGCCCTTATGGAGGCATGAGCCCTTATGGAGGCATGGGATATCGAGGGATGTACGGTGGATACGGTAGAGGAATGTACGGTAGACGCATCAATCCACTACAAGGAGCCATGATGGGTGCAATGATGGGTGCAATGATGGGATAGATACTAAGTTTTTTATATGCAAAGCATTTAATGAGATCTCTAGACTTCAGATTATTGGGTGTTGTTGTAAGCCAAACATTCTTCAACGCTTTTACAGTTATTATTATCAGAATATAATCAATAAAGTATGAAGGAGACCTGACAGATTAGACGAATGTGCAAAAGTTCATAATATTCATGTAGACTCATTATGTATTATCATTTCGTATGATCATATCAGTCAATCAGAGGTGCGCCTTTGCCACCGTCCCGGATTGGCGATAATAGACTTATCGTGAAACATATTGCTTTATAGTCACTCTGAGTGGACAAAAAACATCAAGAAAACCTTGAAGAACACACAACAAAAGAGTATCCATAACAAAAATTCAGGTTGAGGGACGACATAGACAAACAGTGAGTGCAGTGACGCATATAATCACATGAAATGACTGGACTGTACCCTACTTGTGTATGATCTCTTCATTTTCTGCATACCTGCTCAGATGGTATTCTTCATTGTGTGACATTTAGCAAAGCAATCGTGAAGAGATACTTTCAGAAAGCGAAGGAAACTCAGAAATGAAGAAGGGTATAGTTATTCTCAACAGAAGGAAGCATACTACTTTCCAAAAAATGCGGTTTGTGATGCAATCATGCAGGTAGAACAGCTGAGCATGATACATTGCACCGTGCACAGTGGCATACAACATACACAGCACTGCATCTGAAATGCACATTTGCTAGAATCAGAAGCTTCTGTTGTATTGTCGCTTACCATAGGCCCCTGCAGGGGTGGCATGACGATATTAGCGGGGCCGATAGGACGAATTTGAGGGATTGGGGGCGCTACAATGTTTGTGGGAGGAAACTGAGGAATGTTGATGGGAGGAGTCTGAGGAAACTGAGGGATTCGAGGTACTGCAATTTGTGCTGGACAGTTCAAACAATAGCTATGAGGCGGTGAAGGGACATGTCGCGGCTAAAACGAGAGTAAAAAAAGTCTGTCAACATACATTTTTACTCACTTGTTTGTCACAACAAAGCTGTCCATTTGGTCCACAGGGAACAGTGCAATCTGAAAGTTTTGAGCAGAACTTATTTACTTTGTTATCATGCGCAACTATGAATAACTGAAAAGGCGGCTGCAACGCTTACATGTCCTAATGGTTACTGTGCAAGTCTTTCCCTGGCACGCGGTCGTTTGGCATGACGGTCCGGTGCAGTGCTGCATTTGAGTCACTTGAGTTGACTGACCAATACAATTTCCAGAGGTGCAGCCGAAATCCATTCCGCCTAAAGCAATACCGTGTTAATTCATCACTCCACTATAGGTCTGGTCAAAAATCCGTCATGTAAAAGCCAGCCGACATATTTATCAACGAATCCAGTGAGTTCCGTGGGCCCGCGGAATCACCGGGTAGGATCTATATTCGCAAGTGCTTCGCTGGGTACGCTCATCCAGTATGTCAACAAGCCTGCGTTTATTTAGAACGTTTATTAGATAATTTGTTTGGATTCCACAAAATATACCACAAACCACAAAACATAGGGCTTGTTGTATATCAATCGAGTGCACTTGAGAGTTACTTCGAATACTTTATGAAGATTATGGAAATCACTGCACGAAAGGGGTTGGAGGAGAAGAGGTAAAGAGGCCGTTCCGCTAGGTATGAAGTGCTGAAGCAAAGATCAACACTCTGATAAATCGTATAATATTAGGACCGCTAATAATATTCTTGTTTTGGTAAGCGGGCACAAATCTGTGACAATCTAGATTCTTGTTACTTGCTACGCTTTGAGAAAATGCATTCTTAAACTTTTGATACAGCAGATCAATAATTCAAGATTTTCTCCACAGTAATAAGAGGACGTTCTCATACTATACAGCTAACCTTCTGAAAACTGATTTCGAATTTTTAAGTTTAGTTTTCAGGCCACCTTAATGGTTGACAATACCAGTTATATACTCCCAAAAAGATGTATCGAACGTTGATCGTCAGTAACTTTCTTGGTATAGAGTTTTTTCGAAGCTTCACTTATCGTTTCGTAGAGCTGGCTTTAGCTTAAATTATAATAATAATAATTATATAATTATAAATTATTTTTATAGTACGGAGCGAATTACTGATCGCTCTTGCCATTAAGGGATACTTTGCTTTTAAAAAAACCAATCGATCTGAGCGTCAACTCTGGACTAATTAGATTTGCTGATGCAAAATTTAAAATTTGCACCCTATCATAATGCTTGTGAAAAACTTGAGCAGTAGCAGCCGTTTCTTCGATGTCCCTAAAAAACGTGGTTACACCTAAAAAACTTCGCAATCTTGTACAATTCGAGCATCATACTCAGCGTCTATCAAAACCTTACTACAGGAGTTCTCAGGCTTTTTTATAATTTAGAACGGCAGCTTTTTTCACTGTGACACCATATGCCGGAGCTTGTTACCGTAATCCTACAGTAGTGAAGAGCTATCGGTGATTCGCTCCATACTGTAAATCCTAGTTAAACAAGCTCTAAATGATGCCTGAAGCATCTCGAAAGACTTCTTGACAAGGAAATTATTATCAAACGTTCGATAAATCATTTCCGGACATCCTGTATATGCGCACCAATTCTACACTTTACATTCAACTCCAGTTCGATTAATGAATGATTATTCGGAAATTTGATGAAGAAGTAGTCAGAAATCCTGTATAACTTTGTCGTCAAGATAATATCTGCTCAATTGTTGACCATCTGATTCTCTTTATATAGTCCTCCCAGCGATATTCACCAACCTGCTAGACAAGATTTGGCCGTCATTCTACAGCACTGTTAACACGTTGACGGCCGAGCCATTTTGAACCACATTAAAATGGACTAACTATTCAAATCTGCTGTTTAAGCTCTTGAGCAGCTACCGCGATGCCCAGTGTTCTATGTGACAATCAGGCCACCAGTTTATTACCGCATAAAAGTTACTTCAAAACCTTTCGTTTACACATTAAACAACTGAAGCACTGTTTGTATGACTTCGTCCAAACCAATGCTAAACGAGAGTCAGGGCGTGCATACGCGCGTATGCACACGGTTGTCAACGTGTTAAGGATCTGCAACAGCTTTTATCTGATCTACGAAAGCCCTATTTTATTGCAGTTTTGCAAAAATTCTATGATCATGAAGTATTTATGAAGTAAAATTTCATGTTTTCGAAAAGCGGCCTCTACAAGATTTTAGAACACTGTTTGTATGACTTCGTCCAAACCAATGCGAGAGAATGGCGTCGATGACAATTTCCTATCCGATTTTTCATGGGATGCAGAACTGACAGGAATGAGTGCCACTCGAATGGCCTTTTTCAGCGAAATGTACATAGGTTAGTAGGTCCTGGTATGCAACTTACAACGTTTCTTACATAGCAACCATCCTTATCAGCCAAGCGGTCCTTTGCCAAGATATAAAGGTGCCTTCATAACGCGTCGGCAGCCGCCGCTAGTCGCTTTGAGCACTACCCAGTATCCGGATCCCAATATAGGAACAGAAAAACATGCTTAGACATGTTATAGTAGGGTTATTCGGCATGTTTATCAAAATAGCATGATTTTTTAACTTGGAAAAGCCTTGGAATACAGAGGTATTGCGCAAAAGCGGCTACAGGAGGCTAACGGTGGCTGCCGGCGCGGTATGAAGGCAACCTAAGAGAATTTTGCTCGCGCGAACACAAGTACGCGCGATTCACGTCGACATAGCGAGGCGGCGTGGCGCTGTGGAAAGTGGTTGGAATTATAATCTTTGAGGTCTAGCCAAATTCGGATCTTTTCGTCGTCATGCATTTGTCTCTTTTTGTATTCAATGATAAGCTGAACGTTATAGCATCATAAGGAAAAAAAGCTATTGCAAAATACAGCAAGAGCTTACTGATACCTCTAGCAAATATGGTAATGTACATACATGATAGCTTACAATAAAATGTTGGGAACAAACTTCCCTTTCTACCGTGCACAAATCGGTTCAGAACATCCAAACACTTTGGCAGGATAAGAAACCACCAGCTCAAGTGAGAACATGATATAGACGACTCTTGCTATATTTTGCACTAGCTTTTTTACGAAACCTTCGAAATCATGCTAAATTTTATCAAACATGAGAAGGCTTGTTTTTCTTGATTAGGCTGAGGCTCTGAGATGCTAGCTAATCACTGCAAAGTTTTTGGTGAACGTACGACTGGCTAATTTCTGAGATAGACTGTAACTGTATTTTGCAATAGATTTTGTTACTGTTGATGTAAAAGGTTCAATTTATCACGAAAAGAGATAAGTGCAGAATTGACGTGGAGGGAAGGGTTCGAACTCAAACCTCAAAAATCACGACACTTGCCACTGCACTAAGGCCACTTCGGGTCCGTACGCCTCCCTTTGTGATTACTGCTGCAAGGGAAATCAATTAAGTTTAGGTTGCTGTTGACCTACCGCTTCTCTTCATTCTCATGACGAGATTTGTAGAACTTGCGAATATTGCGTTGCTATAGTCAAACATGAAGACATTGAATAGAAAGAGCGTTGATGGGAGGCTGTGGTACACAGGAGACATCACTTGACCCTATAAGCATATGTGTACTCCTATTCGTTCAGTGCTAAATAAAATAGGACTGCTTACGAAGAACAGGTATGATCGCACTGAATCAGATCAAACGTATTTTAGGGCAGTCATCAGCCAATACAAATTGACTCATACTCTTCATTTTTGAACGAGCTTGCTACATTACATGATTCATTCAATAACATCATATAACATTTTGAAGTTTTCCTTTGCACGTGCGACATGTAGATTAATCAATAGAATTGCCTACATAAGTGAGAAAAAAATCCTCGTGCATATTGGCAACTGGGAGTATCCTACAAGGGAAGGACCCTCAGTCGAAGTGGGGTTTCCACACTTGATAGGGCACTAGTACCAGATCCGCTGGTCAATGATCTTCTGAGAAGAGTTGAGCGACGGTTCCTCACGATGACCACTGCATATTATAAGTTCGGGCCGCCAAGGAACTACAGGTGTGGACGGATGGGCGGGTGGATAGCGGCGGAGAGATGGCGCAGGTGGTGATGAGTTCGCGTGCCTAGGGAGCCAAACTTTGCATTTTTGAGTTGTGTTTTGTAAATGCAGATGATTTTCGACGAGGGTCTGCTTGCTCGAAAATCTTTTGCGAATTCAGAGAATACAATTTGCAAAAATACAAAGTTGGCTCTATAGGCACGCAAACTCTTCACCACCTGCGCTATAATCTCCTCAGCTATTCATCCGCCCATCCGTTTGATCTGTACATTCCTTGGCGTCCGAACGTATAATGTGCACTGGTCATCGTGGAGATTTATCGATCATAACTTTTCCCTGAAGATCACTGAGCAGTTAAGAAACACGGATCTGGTATCAGTGCTCCAAGACCAACAGATATGCATCTTGTGCGGAAACCCACTTCGACAGAGGTCCTTTCCTTATAAGAAACTTTTCAATTTCTACATGTAGGCTGTACCAACCAGCACCGGTCCCGCGCGGTACGTCTTGCAATGACGCACTGTCGCACGGTGTGCCTCAACGCGTAGCAGAGTCCGGAAGCGTCAACCGCACCGTCGAGTTGCCGCAAGCGTTAAGTCGCATGACCGATGCTGGTTGCTACAGCCTCTACTTGTTCGGCAAAGCAATGAGTCTAGTAAAATACTGCTAAGATTCGACGAGATAATCTCGACTTCAACAGTTTTGTAAACCATTCACTTCAGCGGTGAGAGACTCAGATAATGGTCAGGGCAGGCAGACCGCGAACTCGCCCTTTCTTGCAAGCTGTCATCAAAATTTGGGGCTGACCATATTTTCAGCGAACGGTACTTCCTTCATTGCCACATGTTCTGCCTGCGTGAAGCAATACGGGATTTTCTGCGAACGCTCGCCAAATATCTTTCATTGAGCGGGGCACCTTCAACGGGCGCTCTGGCTCTTTTTATGCAGTTCCCGGCTTACGCAGAGCAAAGGTAACACTCTACATGATAGAGGTGTCATCGATAATTCGATCACCCGAGTTTGGGGCACATTCTCTCCGCGGAAGGTACCTCGAGGTGTGCGGTCCTTCACAGAAGACCGTGCAGCACTCAACAATTTTGCGTATTTTAGCGGAAAGTCAGCGCAAATGCGGCCACTGCGTCGCAGTTAAACTATGAAAAAATAGAGATTGTTCTCTGAGCGTCAATTTAAAGACTGGCCATCTCTTCCAGTTATCTGCAAGCGGACTGCAAGAAATCAGCTCTTTCTTTCGGTGCCCGCTTGCCTACAAATAGCTAGCCGCCTACCCCCAGCGATTCTCTGAGTAGGTGCTCAGAATCGCCGGGGCACCGGAAAAATAGTTAGCTAATTTTTTGCGGACCGCTTCTTTCGGAAGAATGTTGGCCACTTTTTAGACGAACGCTCAGAGGACAATCGCTGTTTTTTCATAACTTACTTGCGGCGCAGTGGCCACATTCTCGTGGACTTCCGCGAGAATATGCAAAGTTTTTGAGGACCGCACGGTCCTTTGTGGAGGACTTCACAGCCCGTGTATCTTAGCTGAGAGAAAGTACACCAAACTAGATAATTAAACCCAGCATGTTCTGCCAGCGATGACCCCTTTGCCATTAGAGTGTTAACTTTGCTTAGAGTATGCCCGAAACTGCATAACAAGAGTCAGAACACCCGTTGAAAACTTGCCCTGCGCTCGCGGAAAGAAATATGACGACCGCTCACAAAAAATGTTGGAATATGGAACCGTCATTTATAGTCCACATATCCAAAAGGCAATCAACTACGTGGAGAAAGTACAAAATAGTTTCACAAGAAAGTTACTGATTAGGACGGTTGGTTTCCATTATGATCAAATACCATGCAGTCAAGTCCGTAATGCTAATCTTGGGCTCTCAAGTCTTGCTCATAGAAGAAAGAAATTCGATCTTATCACGGTGCACAAAATAATATTTGGAACATATAAGCTTGATTTGAGTAACTTTTTTGTGACTAGATCCTCGAATACTAAAGGTGGACTTAGAAAGCTTGTGTTACCAAAGGTTAGGCGAAATGTCAGAAGACACTTTTTCCCGTGCCGAGTGGCACATGATGTAGATAAACTTTTGAGGAAGAGAATGTTCGTGGAAACTCGCAATGTTCAAAAAAGTGTTGAGAGGCTACCTGAAAACACACTAACATCTTTTTTTGTTCAGGTGCTGTGGTGTTGACTGTTCTGTTTTTTTGTTGTTGTTTGTTTGTCTTCTTTTTCATAGGGGCATCCCTATGCACAAATAAATAAATAAATAAAATTCTGTGTTGCTGCCAGCTGGCAGAGCATGCGACTATAAATGAACTGCCGCTCGCTGAAAATCTGGCCTTGCCTCAAACTTCTGCTGACCCCGCAAGAAAGCGCGAGTATGCGGTCCGGCTGCCCCCGGCAGTTATCTGAGTGGCTCTTCTTGAATTTGTATTTTCAGTTTTTATTGTGCCGTACAGGTTGGTGTAGATGATATACTTTCATTGTCTGACATTTCGGATTAACGCCGTCTTCGAAGGCTGGAAAAGCGTCAACCTTGATATACGTAGTTGGTAGTCAAAAATCTCCCATTACTTGTCATTCGATTTATCTAGGTAGAAGTAGGGAGTGCTGGAGCAAAACTTTACCACCAGGTACATCACCGTTGTTGTTGCTTGCAGCAGCTCGAGATGTCGACCGAGCGATGTCATAGTAAGCTTCAAGGCACTATGAGAATGACAGGTGGGGGGAGATGTCTGACGGGAACGTATATAACCTTTATGAGGCCTTTTCACCCTTTGAAGACGGCGTTAAAGGCAGTGTCCTGGCAAAAACTCGTTTTCTAGAAAATACACTCACCGGGGGTATCCGCAACGCTGAATCCGAAAATCCACATTAGAAAGCGCGAAAACGGAGAGAACATACGTTTTCCAAGGCCGCACAGTTTGAAATTCGACGCTCCCCACAAAGGCAGAGACGCAGATCGCTGCGAGACCCTACATTTTCACTGTGGCGGCATGCGTACTCTGCCGCATAGCAGGAATTCGGACAGCTCGAAGGACCCCGCCCCGAGGCATAAGTTTCCCACTTCCTGGTCGTTTTTCTTGCTCTAGGTCGAGCGTTACGACGTCGCACTTGCACCATGCTGTGTCTGAGGGGGGCCACTCTCGCATGGCACTGAAATCCCAAAACCCACCTCGTACCCGGACACTGCCTTTAAGCGGGAACATCAGGCAGTGAAGTATATCATCTACACTAACCTGTACTGCACAAAGAATATTGAAACAGTATAGAATTGTTGCAATTTTTTGCAATGAAAGAATGATATAACATCACCAAATTTGATGTGCATATGGATATAAGAAACGTCCAATCACAGCTGAGAAATTTATAGTAACATGAAGAGCCATGTAAAAAATTTTTCTCAAATTAGTCGGCGCCATGCAGAGTGATCCGGGTAAGCTGTATCTGACCCTTCGATTGAATATTTATATTCTCTGATATTCTGATCAGCGTACTGACGGATTCATACTAGTACCGTAACCGTTTCACACTTTTTGTTTTTCCATTTTACCTGAAAAATCTTCGTCAGCTCCTTTGCAGTTTCTTCCAAATGCAAAACAAAACTGTTTATAGCGCGATCATGGCCGTTATCGATTACTCACCGTGAAGCATGAGTAATCATTTTCTTGAATCATTCCAGTCAAGCTTCGTAGTGTTTCTGCGAGATCAGAGGAAACTAGCTTTGCTTCCAAGATCCCATGTGCCAAATCTATATTAAATACAGGGCTCAATCCAAGGCCCATCTCTCACTATTGCAGTAAATGACATGCGCTAGCGTCAAGCAATGTTGTCTAAAATTCATACACAACCGTAAGAAACCGTTGTTTGTTATGTTAGATTACTGAAATAATTGAAACAAACTTGCTGTAAATATTCCCATGCTTTTCTTGATAATTGACGAAAAGCAGTACATAAACGCTTGCATCGTCTCAAAGTTAGAACTTCTTACATATGGTAGAATCCAACCAGGAGTTTTAAATAATACAAAGTGTTTCAAGGGTGTGTGTACATTGTTTACTCATGGTCCTCGTGGTACCTTACCACTGGCGTACTGACAGGGGAAGCTTGTTTAGTCGAAGTGGTCTTTTTGAATGAGATGTATAGCATATTAAAGGGCTTAAAACACTGATTCGACTGCCTTCGAATCTGCAGAGCTTATGCAGGAGAAGTTATGAGCGTTTTTTAGAGTCAATAATAGAATGTGCATTTTGGATAAAATGAGTTACCTACTAAAATCTTACTAGCCCTCAAATAATGCAACCAAGTGTGGTATATTTTTTATTTTAGAATATTTTTTGATTAAAGTGCCCTGATGAGTATCACTGCTCCATTGAAAAGCTAGAAAAAGTATTCCGGCTATTTTTGTCCTACTTGCACATTCAGTTTTTTTGCTCAATTAAGCGCTCATAACTCCTCCTCCATAAATGTTCTGCAGATGAGGGAGGCAGATTTGGAATCAGCATTTTGCCCTTCAATATGGTGTACATCTCGGCTAGAAAGGCCACTTCGGCTAAACATGCATTCGTTGTGAGAAGGGGAAGAAGAATTTTTCGGAGCTACTTACATGGGTTATGAAAGTGGCAGATGACGCGTTTTTTTAAATAATTGATACAATTTGAAGCCTTTTCAAGAATCAA